GAATATAAAAATCTAAAATCTGAATGTCGTGCGTATAAGACGACCCCCTTTTTTCGATCGTAGTTTGCTATTTTAAGCCTCGTTTATACGTGAGTATAGGCCTATACGGTATTTGTTTTAAAACCCTAGGTCACCTGAGCGTTAAAGGATTTCCCATACAGTGGCGGATTCAAGGGGGAAATTTTCCATGGGGAGGACCCCCGGACCCCCTTTCATTTTGGGTATTTTTGGAAACGTTTTGAACCCCCCCTCTTCCAAATCATGGATCCGCCCCTGAATCATGTACCTTTGTTTGCACTAAAACACTTAATCTATGTTTCCCCCTTTAGCTGATGTGAGGTAAGAGAGTTTATTTAAAAGATAAGTTACATTTAATAATTTAAATTGTTCGTATGAAATACATATTTTTTTATGAAGTTCAATGCAAGTTTGTACCATATGTGTGTCTTTGTATATGTTCCATTCTAGTGGAGGTTCTATCTCTTTTGAATTTCTTTTGAATATAAATTAAATACTGTACTTAATTGATTTATTATTGCTCACTTGAATTGTATAGCCCTAGGTGCTGCAGTGTTCTTTATGTAGAGCGCCATATATAAATGCTCGATGTGCTTATCCGGGTCCGATGGCACCTCCAATTTCAAGCAAGTGTTGCAGAGACTCTGGAGTTAGGTTGCATATGAGAATGAAGAAGATAATTCTGGATAGCAACATTGATTTATTGCTTTAAGTACTGCGACAATAACATTCAAAGGCGAATTTAGAAAGTTTAGATAAAAACTATTTATTAAAGTTTTCATAGGTTTGTTTTAACGCCAGTTTGTGTTACCTAACTATGTAACTTAATTCATTCTAATTAAAGAGAGAAACGGGTTGACAAATAACAATACTTAAAATGTTTGCTATAGATCGACTACAATGTACGTTAATATGTAATACATTTAAATCAATTTAGATCAATCTTAATGATCTGATTTTAAATAGCAAAAGCGGATTTAGGGTTGGGGAGGGGGTGGGGAGTGGTGGAAAAAAACAGAAAAAAAGAAAAATTGATCGCCCAAACGCATAAGGTTATTTTCGGGCGTCAGCAACTAAAGAACATAGGGCCTTGGCTATTTAATATTATGATGTAGCTGGGCATGTATTTTATGGTGATAGATTAATTAAAAGAAGTTTAACATTGTTCTGTGTATATTATTTGAATTTCTTTCGGCCCCTGATTTTCCTGTAATTTTTGCAGTATTTCAAATGAATATGTACCCACATAACTGTCTTCTAATCGGATTAAAATGTGGCCGAATTTTGGCCGATATTGAAAAAATGTTTGGCCGAATTTGGCCGTGAGATGGCGTGTGTTTCGCCGTGAAGCCTGTCGACTATCTGGCAAACCTGGTCCATACGATTAACCGGTAGAGGGTGCACTTGTTTGGTACACTTGCTCAGGCCGTCAGCGATTTTTTTTTTCCGTACGAAACATTTGCATGAAACTTCACTCGGGCCATCTCGGATTGACTCGACTGAGTTCGATACGAGGAACAAGAGCAGACACTTCGCAATGTCGTGACGCTCGAGTTTTACTATTATTGCTCTTTCTATGTTTACCTACGCTAGGCCTATGATGATGAACCATGATGATATCTTAACGGAGTTATGGGATGTACGTGTGTACTATTAACTGTGACCTTCTTGATGTTATTAAATGTTAGTATAATAATATCTACAACAGCAGCTAGTAAACCCTTTTATAAAGTGTAGATAGGTACAGTAATACCAAAGGCCAGAGTGAAAGAGGATGCCTAACTATACAGGCTAGTGCTACATAGGCCCCTCCTTAAACTATAGGTTCAGGGCCCTAGGCAGACACCAACAGTCACGCTTCACATACAGACGTTGACTGAAATTTTGAAAAAAAAAAAAAATGGGAAAAATAATTGAAGCATGAAATAAAAATTAGAGTGCATAAGAGAAATATTATTAAATAAAATATACCATTCCGGTGTTATTGAACTTGGCCAAAGTACTATCATTGTAATGTAATTAATGTTAAATAATAATAATAAATAATAATAATAATAATAATTTCAGCATTAATTACCTTAGCCTAAGCCTTGTTGAAGAACCATACTATTTACTAGGCCTATAATTAATAACTAGCCCAAGGGGAATATCTTTTGTGTTATTTCCCCTTAACGTCGTTTTTTTAATTGTCCTCTAATTCCTCCATTGTCTA